TTAAAAAATAGTAAAAAATAGCTTATATTAATCAATAGTAAACCAGGCATATTCAAGTCTTTGGTTAAATCTACAAGTCATGTAGTCATGTAATTACAGATCGTACAAGAAACTTCTCTTGTCATCTCAAAATCTTGTAAGTTGTTATTTGTTGTTGTAACTCCTAAACACAGTTTGTTGCTGAAACTTGTTTCAATTTTCTCAATTTTTACTATTTCATAAATATTTCATCTTCTTTTTTAATTTTGTACGAATTTTACTTTGATTTTCTAAAATTTTGAATTTGGCATTTTGTTTAGGATATTGTATATTCGCTTTCTATCATTTTAAACCAAGTATTTATTTTCATTTATATCTTGGCGTGATGTTAGTTTTACTCCAGAAATCATTCAAATTATCATTAAATATCTTCCAAAGTAAGTACCACTCCGGTTTTGTTTCCACGAATACCTATAGTTTTCTTACTTCTAGACAATAAGCAATCTTGTATCATCCGACTCCCAACCTTTTGAATCTCTCACTAGTTTGTCATTGTCTCGATGGTTTTTCTCTAGATCTAGACCCGTCAGGATACCCACTCTTTCTTACTCGAACAACCGATAGGTTGGTAAGTAGTCTAGATCGGCTACATTATCCGTCTAGATGACTGTTCGGATCCAGAGAATACTCCGGACTCTGTACTCGACTACAACGACACGAGCATTTTATCATAATTTTGAGCTTATCCATATCATTACTTATTCATATATGTTTGGACATCTTAAGAATTTCTCTTGCCACTTTGGATATTTTAGCAGCAGACTTCAACTTCAACCCATCCATAGTTCTATTCCTTAGTTAGTTCAATTAGAAGGCATGATACTTAAGAATCCATTGTCATAAGGTCTTGTAAGAACAAACTTTCAAAGCATGCGATTTTCATATCATTAGATTGCACACATCACACATCCTACATCACATACATCTAATGCTCATCGTATTCACCAAGCCTCTTGCAACACTCATCATTTGTGTCTTTTCTCTTGAAGTATCTCCACTACTTCGTCTTTAGACTACAATTGTATGATATCATAGAAGAGCAGTCACTCTTCTTAGATATTCTAGACACAAATAATAACTTTCATTAAGTTGCCTACAAGAATCTCAAAATAATGATACATCTATGCAAAAAATAATTATTGTGAAACTACTATCCACATTCAATCAAGAAAGAATCTTAGATAATCTGCAAAAAAAATTTAGTAAGTGCATATGCAATATTTCAACTTATAACTCTATGAGTACAACACATTAAAAACGAGGCAATTTGTCAAAGAAAAGAGAAGATTAGAAAATTAAAATTAACAAAAAATACCAGAAATAGTAATGTATCATAGGAAGACTAGCAATGAGATTACAAAATAGTTAATAATGAGAAGACAAGTATTCACTAATTGATATAAGTCTAAGGTGAAAGAAGGATGTCATTATAAAAATTTATAACAACATATGTGATTCGAAGATAAAATGTATGACGGAAAAAAGAGCAATCAGGAAGATGATAATTATTTTTAACTATTTACATGATGATGTTTGAGTTGAAATAATTGAACTGTTTTGGGAAAAAATCCAAAAAATGTGAGAAAAAAATTCAAAATTATTCTGGAGGTAATTAAAGCAAAGAAATAAAATTGACAAAATAAAATAGAAAATAAAATCATGCAAAAATGGAAACGAAATAAAGATTAAAGAACATATTTTTAGGTACCTTTATAATATAGTGAGGATCTTGAAAAATCTAGTTTAGCCCTGAAAAAATATATGACTTAGTCTTTGCCTAAAGCTTCATATTGCACTTACTTGGATTAGTTTTCAATGCATGCTAGTAGACGCAAGTTGATTAAAATTAAAATTGCAACATAGTAACTAATTATTAGATGTCAAAAAGTAAATTCGAGGCCTAAGAGCATGTTTTGAGAGATTATAAAAGCAATGTGAATTTTCAAAACAAGCATATTCAATGATTAAAAATTTGCAATTCTCTTTTTTCGCCTCAAATTTAGATTCATTTGGATAAGTTTTGATTGGCAATGTGCAACACAAATTAGTACAAAGTAAGAATCAGGAGTGTGTAATTGATTATTATACTAAATGTCAATAGTCATAACTTTTGCAACATACTTTTTTTTTAATAATTACTTCTTATTTATTACTACATAATTATTCAAAGATTTTCATTATTTAAACCCAAAATATGATAAATTTGATGCAAAAGACTCTGCACATTGTGCTTAGTCACGTTAATGGTTGGGAAAGTTTTTAGAAAGATTGGAAAGTGGATACTTATAATCTCAAGATTATAAGTATCAAAGGAATTTTATTTTTTTCATTTGACCAAAACTAATCAGTCTGTAAAGTACTACAAATGGGTATATGACTGTATTCTCTAACTAGCTTTGGAGTATTAAAGTTATTTCACGTAATTATTTATATGTATTCAAGTATCACACGTTCAAAAAATCAATTTAAGTACTATTATTTTCCACAATACCAAGATAATACATAACTGAGAAAATTTGAATTCAGAGGAAGCTGGAAATGTATCACTTTGATAAAAATTATATGAAAAAATTGATATTTATTAAGATAAACCATAATTACTGCAAATCAGATCTTCATCCTTACTTTTGAGTTGTAGAAAACATATGTAGCTATACTTATCGCAAAGAAAACATCAAGATAAGAAAAATCACACTGTTAGCATTCGAGTTCTTCCATTCGAAAGTAGATTTCTAGTCCAAGTTCATGTATTTTTCCTTTCACCATTCCTAGATGTGCACAACTCAATAGAAAAAAGTATGGCAATCTAACATGATGTGATCATTCAACTCATGAATGAGAGTCAAGTCAAGGTATGAAAGCCAAGGTATTCTAATATCGGGTTATACAAAACTGCCACATCTTTGTTATTCTAGATTGTGACTTATGATACGCTATGAATATCCAACATGAGGAAAAGCATGTATAATACTAGACAGGAGGAAATAAATCTCTTTAGCTTGTTGTAAGCAGATTTGGGTTAATTTTGAATATACATAGGAGAGAAAACATTTTCAGTGAACTCTATATATATATATTCAGATTCTTAAGTATTTAAACAATTTAACCTAAATTGACTGTAGATCTAAGATGCTTTAACACATATTCTTTATAGTTATGACATTGGGACGTAGGATATGATGGCTTTTTCATTTCATCATTTACTAATTAATGGCATCTTCTTTTCTTCTTTTATTGATAATATGTCCTCTTGCTTGATTGACATAACGAAAAGGATGAGATTAACTCATCAACTTATACAAACATGAAACCATATGAGGTGAGAATGGGCTAGGTTCCAGTTGTATCCAATGCAAAACATTGCCTGCTATATGTAATTACCTAGATAAGAACCTCCATCAACTACATATACATCCAAACAAACAACATTCAATGTGATTGCTAGCATAGCCTATTGCTCATGAAATGCAGTATATACTATAAATAAATGATTTGTAGCTAGATTATTTACTTTCATACAAGTCATTGTTCTATATGTCATGATTAAAATAGTGCAGAGGTCATTCCTAAATTATATCTATTCAAATTTTACTAAGAACTTGCTTTTCGTTTGAGTTCGACCCAATTGTGTTTTCTGCTGACGAAGTCGTCAGAAACAAACACATGTCTATTTTTTATGTCATTGTCGACAACAAACACATGTCTTGACTAACTGGTCGTCTCTGTCCAAGTTGTTAGATGTAGACAAGATTTGAGATAGAATAGTCCCTTAGAACGCCTTTTTAAAGCATAAAGTTTGAAATTCATGTCATGAACTGGAAATGTCAAAGACCTCGTGTTGGCCAAGGAGAAACTTTTTCAAGGCAAGGCAATGGAATATATTAAAAAAAAGAATTGAAGGTTAAAGAAGCCACCGTTAATCTTCATGAGTATGTCAATTTTATTGCGCCAAGCCTTTCGCGAACTTTTAGGTGTATACGCAAAGGTTATGATGGACTGTACCGAGTCAAAATACTTAATAGCTATATCTTTTATTATGAGCCAGTCATAACCCTTCAGCTTTTTGGATAAGTGCTTAGCAGTATTAGCTACACTTTTATGAAAGTTTTATATAATGTAGATGTCTTCACTATAGAAGCTTATTTCTTTTTAGACACTGAATGAACAGGGGCCGAAGGTGTAGGAGCTTCATGTTAGGTTTTCCTTTCTCATCAATTATCGTTGATTAATAAAGAATACTTACGGCAGAAGCAGCTTATTGCATTCATTCATGAATGCAGGGCAAAAAAATAAATCTGTCATGTACTCATATATGTTCGCTGGTAACAGAAATCGCATCTTATTCACATCCGTAAAGCGTTGAGGCACGATGTGGGACCTTACAAGACTTTGAGCTTTTCCGCCCTGCATTTTTCCAATTATTCTTCTATTGTCTTTCTCTTTTGACACTGGCGATATACTTCGCCATAAACGAACATGTAGAAGCTATTATAACCTCCTCCCGGATAATATGCATATAGTTTGTAACGTGCAAAGTAAAAGCCTCGAGATAGGCGTGCTGAGTAATCATTTATTAGTGCCGTTGACAGCGATGAAGCAGGTTGTTGACAAAAAGATTGTTTGGCCATGGAGGCGAACTGTGAAACGAGCCTCATGATTCGATTTGAGAAGCTTCTCGTGCAGCAATCAGTGCCTTATGAATTGGAACCAGTCTTTCTTCTGAAAATTCAATCCTAGAATATTCCAGTTCTTCGTCGGAAAGTCAAGAATTCTGTCGTTGCGTACACATTTCTATTCCCAACAGTGATATGCAAAGCGATGCCAGTCATGAGTGAGGCAAAGTCATGATTCTCAGAATTGTAAGGAGGCACTTTCTTGGCCCTTGAATAATCAGATACAGCCAAAGGCCAACTTGAATACTCGTACACGATCGATCATCAGTAGTGCTTCTACTGTGTACAGAAGCCATCCTTCTTCGTTTAAGCCAAATCCTTGTTCACTTCTCTGCTACAATACAAGTGATAATATAATCTACTTTTTCAACAGAGTTCAGTGAACGGCATTCGATCTCGATTGTCTGCTAGCGCAAGAATAGCCCACGTGACAAATATGTAAGCAGATGCTACTCTTGCTCCCAAAGTTGCTCCCAACAGAGGAAAACTAAGAATCAAATCTTGCTCTGAAAAGTGCCTCTGTTTTAAGCTGCTCATTTTAGCTCGACAAATGACATCAGATGTACTCTCATTCGAATTTTCCGGAGTCACAAAGCACATTATTCTACGGGTCAGCTCTTCAGGGACACAAGCTGCCAGACAATGACTGCTCACAATTATTCATCCATCAAATCCGAACACTACTCCTGAAGTTTTATTGAGGGTGGTCAGCCGGATGATATCTACAAGTTAGAGCGCTGCTGCGACGACAAGCGAGCAACTTCTCACTATAACCTTGACGTGTCCCCCATTGCTGAACTAAACCTGTCACGTCCACATTGGCAGAAGAACTGGAGCCTGAATCATCCCCCGGGTGGATTCTCATTCCTCGTATAGAACAGAGCAATTTCTTAAGTTTCTTAAGTAAAAGCTGAGTTTTGAATAACTCTGTGTGAAAGCCGCCCTGCTTTTGGGCCTACCGTCGACCTTTACTTGCTTGCTTCCTGGCCAATATCCAATAAATTAGTGTAATCTAGAGCGTGGAGGTAGATCTGGGTCGATCTGCTAGAATAGATCGTGACCAGCGGAGATTTTATAGAATCGAACATGTGGCCCGATCTTCGACATTCGCTCTGAGGGGAGTTCCTGGAGGAAAGCTGAATTGGGAGATGCAGGCTTGGGGTAGGAAAATTTACAAGGAGGTGACTGTGGCATTCCTAAATGAGCATCTGGACATATCGAGATTATTTCAGGCCAGAAGGAATTTGATAGCTCGCGCATTGAACTCGGTAGGATTCTCTATCTGCGGTACGTGGCCGCAACCCTCGATCATGTGCAGCTGTGCTCGGTCTCCGAGGTGCCTGAAATCAGCACAGACCACACGCAACGCTCAATGTTAGACTCGAAAGCTCGAATCTCTCTCCCAAGTCTAGATCTATATCTGCTCACGTCTGAAATGAAGTGATCGAAATTTTCTTGTGGGGCTGGAAGATGTGTCACTCACTTCCTGAGAGCCTCTGCCAGCGCAGGGTCGAAAATGTTGTCCTTGGTCCCCCACATGATCAAAACCTCCTGCTTTAACGAACCGCACACGCGAATCATGAGCCACGAGTCAGAAAAACCGTTTCATCTTCTTACCAGCGAGGCGAGAATCCTATGCAAGGTCTTGAGGATTGCGAAGTTAGCCCCGAAGAAGAAATGCAAGAACTCTGCTGTCGCTGTACCTGTGTGATTTTCGGGATCGGTGGGGCGCCAGCGGAGCCGATAACCATGCCATCAACGAGCTCCTCCTTCTCTTTCATGTGGCCTTGGTAAAACCACTGTCACAGCACGGATCGTACGTAACACACAAGCTTTGAGTTCAGGTCATCATCGCTTCGGTATTTTGCCACCTCATGCTCCAATCGGTCGAGTCATTATCGACAATCGGTTCACAGTATGGACGTTCGTTGGTCATGCTGACAGATAAAACGCTCACACGATGCTTCGAAATCTCATGCATATGTGCGGAAGACAAAGGTTTTGAGAAATTTGTGGATTAGTATGGCAACTCATGGAAGAACTATGGAGGCAGAGGCGAGTGAGTGAAAGAATTCAGGTCCACTGGGAGCCTAGCAAAGCAAATTCGGTTGTCTAGTAAAGATAATGTCTTCGCTGGACAATTACGCTCGATTTGTTCTGGACGTCGTGATCAAAGCAAGAAGCCGTCCCGAGGACGAACTCTGACTCGACGACTCGTGAGGGGTTGCATCCTAGCTCTCGCTGGGAAGTGCAATGAAGATGCACCCTCAGAAGAGTGGAGCTGTGCTTGGGCGAAAATGCATGAGACCAGAGACCAATCGCTTATTGGAAGAGGAGACATCGCTTGGGGAGTCGAGAGATGAGAAATTATGTCACGTGAATGCAGCCACTGCAAACGAACGAGAGCCTGGACTAACCTCGTACATGTCTTGCAAAACGAAGGAAGGAATTGCCCAAATTCGCCAGACGGTGGCGGTGGACATGCCGAGTCTCATGTGTTTCAAATCTTTGGGAACGAGAATCTCCTTCACGCTGTCGATCTTGCACAGCTCCATCAGCCTATTGTTGGTGGTGTGGTCCATCATGATTCCAGAGCTGCAAATGACGACCTTGTTCACGAGTTTGGGGTAATTGCTGGCCATTCTGTAAGCAACCATTCCACCATAACTGGTTCCCAGAACATGGACCTGGTCTACATTCAGTACATCCAACATCTTCTTCATGCACTCGGCCTGGAAAACTTCGGATCGTTGCGATGTCGTCGTGAAGGACTTTCCGAAGAAGAGCAGATCCGGCACGTACACCCGGAATCGTTTGACGAACGCATGAGTCTGGTGCTCCCAGCCTGTGAATCCGTCCATTCCAAATCCTTGCAGCAGCAGCAGAGCTGGCTTCTGGACAGCCGACTCGTCGGCTACTTTCTCCGACGGGATTTCTCGTGGAACCCAGCAATGGATGACGGTCGCCCCGTCATCCAGTTCAATCAATCTGGGCTCCATACCCAGTCTCCTGTAATGCATTTCCAGGAGCTTCAACTTCCACTTCACCCAACTGCACGGTAGGCACGGACCCATCGCCATCTCGAGACGACTGTCAAGTGTTTTGATCTGGCGCTTGATCGAGCCAGCCAGCCAGCCAGTGAGAACGATTCCTCAACAACCGGAGCCTGACTTCGAGAGTTCAGGCCAGAATCTTGTCCTTCGGGATGATTGCAGCAGCTACTCGTCGGAACCTTCAGCTGCTCAAAGTCTACGCCTCACAACCTTCCTGCCCTTCCTGCCAGCAAGCACGAGAATTTGCACCAAATCGTCAACAACGGCGAGGAGACTCGGAACAAAGAATACTCTCAGAGCACATTCTCGCATGGGTTGTCGCAGCGATCATTCTCGGTTTTGTGAAAGCCACAACATCCCACAGCAACATAGTTAATCACCAGCACAGTTGGGGACAAATGTTCCGATTGGAGGAGCCAAGAGCTTCAGGACCAATTTCATGACATCATCATCATCATACATCGAGTCCTGCGACGAAGCTTCCTGCTAACACTAACACTGTATGATAATCCGGCTCTACAGTTGTGAAAGATTCCACGCGAGCAGAGAGCTGACCTCTGCGCAGATCGTCAATCCGCTGTTCCTCCTCGTGACGCATCGTTGCGCATCCGAATCCAGGCCTCCATTCCTGGAAAGCCGATGTGGTCGGAGGACCCACAGCAAAAGCGAGCGCATGAAGCCGACGTGACAGCGGGTTTGCTACTTTCTACAGCAGTGAGCTCGAAGACTCGCCACCGGGGCCCGGCCCGGATCTAGAGTGCTTCGGGGGAACATCCCAAGATTCAGACTCGTCCAGCTCCAGCCTTCTTGGCTGCAACGTGCTCACATCGAAGACACGATTGATCGATCTCTCAGAGCTTGCGACGTTACCACAACAACGACCACAGCAGCAACAGCAAGCAGCGGACGGGGAAAGTGCTCGTTGCACGGGAAAGAACTGGCTCGAGGCAGCTTTTGGCAACTCCTTGTGCATCATCGTCGGGTCTTCGGCTCGTGGTGGGCCATCGAGCTGAGCTCGCTCGCTCGCTCGCTTGCTCCCACGATACCCGCCCGGCCTAACCCGGGGATCGAATCCGGTCTTGATTTGCGTTTAGTTTAATAGCCGAGGGCCTTTCCAACACCTGGCGCTTCCTCCCTCGCTAGCGGTAGGAGGATTTCGTCGACGGCCCGAGGGAGAAAGCGTTGACGGTTCCAGCAGCGAGGGAAGGGGAGAGGAGGGGAGGTGGCCATTCCATGCCTCCTCATCTACCTCGCAGCGATCTGATGGGTGACGGGTGCCTGCCCGACCCGTCGACCGAGCCAAGGCTAATTTTATTGCCTCAGATTCTGGGAACCATTTTCATGAGCATGCATGGACGGCATGGGACCACTAACTAGTCAGTCAGTCGCCTACACTTCCTCACTCTCTCTCTCTCTCCCGAAGATTTTCGTTTTCGTTCATGATGTTGATGCCGCAGATGGAGCGGTCTTCTCGTCTTGCACCTCTTCCCGGCGCACCTTCTTCGTGCCCCGACCTGCACTCGGATGAAGAAGAGGTGGCGCTTGGTGGTTATCATCCGGTAATCTTCGGAGGGAGCTGATTTAGAGGCCGTGGCCGGAGGAGATCCGAGAATTTGCGGGGATTCCCGCGATTAAAAAACAATTTTCGAGAATGTTGTCGGCCCCGGGCCGTTTACCTGAGAGCTACTAGACCCAGGAATCGAGGAGTTCGAGGACCTGGAAGTCAATCCTCGTCGTCCGAATGAGCCGAAGCAGCTCGAACGACCGGTTCTGCTGGGCAGGCCAAGGGCTGCGTTGTTGACTCATGCATTCGAACAAGACGCAGCACACTGTTCCATGCGGTCAAAAGCAGCAGCAGCATCGCGCATCTTGGAATCTGAGATCGTTTGTGGACGCGTACGTGTACCTGCACCGAACGAGGTTTGAATGTTTCTCAGAGCCCGGAATAAGTCGCACTTCGACCAGATTTGACCAGATATTTCCTTCCGAGATCCAGATCGCGACGTTCCTGATTATGATTTGTACTATCTCGAGTGGGCCAAGGGCTTGGACTCTAGCGCTGACTCGTGATCACGGACGACATTTTCCACTCATCGGCTCTCTGAACCCAGATCCCCAGGTCCCCGTTTCGTCCAAAATTCTTCCCCATAAAATAAGCGAAAGAAAGGCGACGTTAATGTCTTGCTCCCGATGAGATCGTGATCGATGATGATGTCGACATATAATACTACTTTCAGGCCTGGGAAGCACCGTTTCGTGATGTGGAGGTGGAGGATGAGGAGGGGAGGGAATTGCGGGCAGGCCACGAAGCCATTGGAGTCGCACCGAGTGTTTCCTCTAGCTCCATGTCGGTACCATGTCAGCGTCGATCCATCTGCCTCTACCTCTAGGCTTGCATTATATGGCCCCTCTGAGACTTCAACTCGTGACCGGGTTGGCCGCCAGGACCGAGGTTCACAAGAATTGCGCTGAACTGAATTTGATAATTGCGTCAGGATGATATTCGTGAACATAAACTTGGCAGTCTTATCGATGGGACGAGCTACTGGATCAGAATTGAATTGAAAGCTAGCGAATCTTTCATTCAGGAGAGCGACGTGAGTGCTTACTGTGGGAAACTTACTTCAGCAGCTCCGCTCCGTTCAGCTCGTGCATGATGATCTTTGAAGTCTAGTGCAGAGGCGCAGCTGGTGCTTGCTTCGTGGACGATGTTGGGGCCGTATGGAGATCAATCGGCTCGAGTCCGGAGCTGCGTGCGGCTGCTGTGTGCAGGGATCGTCTGACGTACGAGTCTGATGCAAACTGCTTTTGCCATGCGAAGTGCAGGCACTCCAATGCACTCCATGGTTCTGTCTCAGAGCATACAACTTTTCAGCGCTTTTGACCACGGTTGGTGTACATGCGCAGGGAGGACAAATGTGCTCACTCCACACGCTACTCTCTGACACAGCGCGGATAAAACCTTTGCGGATAGAAATGTCGATGAAGATCGGAGCAGCCAACCAAACCGCAACGGATTTTCGATCGTTTGCACACAATTGTACCTTGCCAGACCTTTTCGATGATACTACCCGTGCATCATCGTAGGTCTATCGCCTCGGGGCAGCGATTCACAATCATCACCGTCGGCAAAAGCTCTTTTCTCAGCACAAACCTCGTTCGACAGCACTGCGGTCTTCGATATCTTCCGCTTCGGGTAGACTACTAGACTGCCATAGCTCGTGACAGGAAGAACACAGAGGACCTGCACGATCTCTATCGACTAGCGCTCACCACTCGTTGTGTCCAGCTCCTGCAGCAGGGTCTGTCTGCACAGTCGTGAGATTCATCCCATCGCTCTGTCTCGTCTCGCATGCTGCTGTCGAGTGCGCGTGTCCAGGGACGCTGAACTGGGCAAGTCTCTCGCGCATGAGATTTCCAGCGCTTCTAGAGAAACTGACGTCCTCATCTAGATTCTCAAAAGTCGTGGCCGTTTCCCGCAAATGCCTTCAAAAGTAACGCACTCGCGCTTCGCTTTCGGGAGAAAAGCTGGAGATTCTGACGCACGTAACCCGTGCATCGCTTGCACCATCGTACGGGACGAGGGTGGCACGCCGAAAAGACGCCCCGATCGGCATGCGAGCTCTCACACAATCAATAATCAATCGATCTTTCGGCCCATTGTCAATGGCCTGCGTAGCCAATCACAAGCTTCCGGGCTCTGAGCTGCCGGATTTCATAACCCTGGCTTGCCTCTTTGATCCATGGCCACTCCGTTTGGCCCATCGTCATCTATCTATCCATCCATCTATCTATCGCCCTTCTGCGACGCGTGCTGGCATGCTCGACGGCTCCCGTGCCTTCACGCTTCACCTAAACCCCACGCACCCATCCATCGCCATTCAAATCGTACAGCAAGCATGTACGTCACCTCGTTCAGATTCTAATCTCCACTATCCGACGACTTGCATAATCTGCCATGGACTATTCGCTGCACGAAATTCGAGAGCCTTAATGGGAGCTTAAAGAGGAAATCCCGATGTTCACAGCCTATGGGGCGTCATGGGATCAAATCGACGAGCCCCAAGTGCACCGGACTGAAGTTGCTGCTCGAATCAGACAGTGTGGAGATGTGGAGCTGAGTTGAGCTGAGCTGAGCCGCAAGCGATGCAGTGGATCGTCGGGGAGAGCGTAATTGGAGAGCACTGATGGAGGGGGTCACCTGCAGACAGCAGCAAACCGAGACCGAAGGTCAACTTGAACCATCATGATCATCATCTCGCAACCACGAGGCCTTTCACTGCTTGAACACTGTGGCCACAATGAAGGCCGGAAAGTGCTTCTTCATTCCCGTGACATCGACCCCTTAAAATCGCCCGTACCTGCCACGATCTGCAGCATATTTGCCAGCGCCAGCAGGTAGACAGAATAGAGGGCCAGGGATCTGCAGTTGTTGCGAATGAATGAGAGAAGACGACATCGAAGCCCGGCTCCGTGACGTGTCGACCCAAGGGCTGCCCAATCTCGAACCACTCCGTTCGCAGTACCTGCACTTCTCCATCGTCGCCAGTTCGCCTGACCGGCCATCGTGCGAATGAATGTCCATGCTCATTACTTCCCAAGAGTATCGTACGACATTCTTCCTTCGCTGGCCGCGAGCAAGTTGATGTCGAATTCTCTGCATGCATTAAAGACCAAACAGAGCTGCTGATGATCGAGTACGTCCCTGGCAGTTCGAGCTCATGGAGAATTCGGTGACCTTGGACCACTTCGCCCTTTGTTACCTGATGGACATTTGCACTTATTGCCAGCAAAAGGCAATTCTGATTCTGATTGCTCCCATCGAAGTGGAATCAGAGGGATAGTCAGCTGTCAATCCCTAGAATTGATTCCCGGTAAGTTTTCAGCCCATCTCTGGTTTCAAAGCTGCAGAAAGCTTCCTATTCTGGAAACGGGAAGACTTTCGTCACTGTAAAGTGCGGCGACCATCATCGTAGTCATCGGTTTACTCCGAATTTTTATTGGAGAGATCTCAATAGAAATCAATTTCCATCATGACTAATTATAATCCAAGAGCATCGCGTTCGCTCTTCCGAATCGAAAGAGCAGATTCGGAAGCAGAAGTGATGACATGGAATTCATCCTTCGAGCAACTGCTCTCTTTGAGAAGAGTAATCCCAAGCGTAATGCGTGGGGGATGACTCTCCGGCTTCAACAGATCCACGCACAAAAATTGACCCGATTCCGAAGGGGATTTGGCTCCGATTTGCTTCATCATGAAGCTTGGAGCTTCAAGGCCAGGGTTCGGTCTATTCTGAACAGGCGGAAGTTCCCGAGTTTTGTGGAGTGGAGTCCACAAAGAATGATAATCGGGGCAGACGGTCTCGCGCTCACGGACTGTCGACCTGCTGCCTGTCGGAGGGAGACCGATGCGACGCCAAATCTCGAATCGAAGTGGAATTCGACGAGCACGTTCGAACTTAGCTCCTGAAATATGCGAAGGACGCAGACTTGCGGCATTCGAACCGACAAATTTTCCGCAAGTTTTGAAAATTTCTGATCGTTGACGATCAGTTTCCTGGCACATGCTTAGCCACGGACTGATTTGCTCAGTCGCTATGGCTGCGTGATCTCTTATCTCGATGTTGCCCATGCAATATCTGGACTCACTGTGACGCAGCAACTGTCAATCGATTGACGATTTCTGGATTTGTATGCGGCGCCGTGTAATGCTGACGATCGAGTCTAAATCGGCCAGGACCTTATTGCGTTCCTGCACCTGCTCAGCCACGTCTACCCGCCTTCCAGCGGGTCACTGCACATCATCCCGCAATGAAGATTAACGTAGCGAAATGCATTGTGCATCGATTTGTCGGAACTCTTGGATAAACTCTTGGATTTCGATACAAATAGGATCCGTATCTCAGCCCACGACCATTCGATCTGTGTTATCTTTTATTCCACGAAGCTAGAGTTGATAGATTGAAGAAAATTTTGAGTAGCTCCGAGTTTTTTGTGAATGGGAATCCGAGTATACTTGGAGACGAATTGTTTCCCAGTTTTAGAGACGTGACAGGAATGAATCTTGTCTTGAACTGGCAATCGTAGACAATCTTTCTTGTTATGTGAATACGTGACCTGAAGATTTGTATTCTTGAGTTCTTATTTTTAAGACCGATGAAAATCGTTCGCCTCAAGTTCTCCTTGTGAGAGCTCTCCGTGTACGCTAGGTTCACAAATGTGCGGCTATAGTTCTTCCGATTTCATTAAGTACATCTTCTTCAGATTCCCGTCATACCAATTCTTTCACACCGAAACGAACATCGTCAGCTGTTTATGGCACCCTGCGTGATACCAGCGCCTTATGGCCTGAGTACCATAGACCTATGGTACTCAAGCTACGAGGGGAGCTATGCTGATGAATGGAATCCACTGGCGACAATTTCTAATAAGAGCTTAGTCGAGCAAACTACTCAAAGCTTTACTCGGATGATCCAATTATTCCTGAATATTCTCGTCGCACTCTCCGCATAGAAAATGATATAAGCAGATATGACTACAGGAGCACCACGTCTGCGCCGATTTCTCTCGGTTCATTGCAAACAACAGCCGGACATTCTTGTGGTGTTATGACCTGACTTGGTACCCTTTTGGGCAAAGTTCTGCACTTTCATTCGATTCTGGTTCTCGTTTGTTGGTGTCTCGTAGGCCAGTCGGTCTTGTTCTTTTCATTGCGTTTCATTCGTTGCCGTCAGAGAGAGATGTCAAACTCACGTCACCCGAATCAGTAGAAAGCGTTCTTGCCTTTTGATACTCTCAGTTTAGGACCTAGTTCGAGGACCCATGTTCTGGAGTCATAGAATAGATGAAGCAAGGTGAAATACTTTACAGGAGCTATTGAACACCTTCGAAAGGACCTATAGGATCAAATGAATTCCTGAGCGGATACTTATGGAGACTACGAAGTGTTTAGACAACCTCTCTTCAGGATAGCTCATGAGACCTCTATGAGAAACTCCTTAGGATGCACATGGAGGTACCATGAAAGACAGGGCCTAGTATCAAACATACGTCGATATGGGCACTTCACTACACTTCGAACCAGAAAGTATGCTAAGGTAGGTCCGACTCTACACAGATGGGCGCCGTCAAGTAACTCTGTGATAGACGCAACTGGTGGAAAGTGGAGAAAACTGCAATAAGTCCTTCAGCTTTTGTGCCTCTAGTTTCGTGTAACAGCTGAGATTTCACATAAGACAAGCTATGTACACGTACAGTCATACAGCACATTCTACAGACCTCTATTATGACCGGACTTTTGACTTTTCCTGCTGCCAAATTTATCTATTCCGCCTGTCAATCATAGTTCCCATGTTCTGCAGTACCTGTCCGACCAGAAAGGTCGTGGCTTGTCTCAACTCTTTCAGATTTCAGAAAGTTTCAGATTTGAAGGCTTTCGCCTCTCTTGCATGAAAAGAGAAACTTCTATGTCGCGATCTTGTTAGAGCCTTCCTTCCAGTTGTTCCACGTCTGCGATGACAAGAGGAATATCATCATATACCTTCTTCTGAACTGTCGTTTATTCCCTCACAGCGTCTCAAGAGACAAGAGATCTCATAACTTCACCGGGACAATCGATCTGGTTGACTTCTAGCTGCAAGGATCAGATAGAAGGCTATTTTAAGAACTCTTTATCAGATATACTTTGGGATGGATGCTTCGAGAAGATGTGTCAGGACGCGTTCTCCAAGTAGACATGGGCATGATTGTTTGGCATGTTGCAGTTCTGTGTGTTCAATACTTGGGACTTCCATATCAAACGTTCGTCCCGCCACACTTCAAGTCCAGGTCCTATTGATGGCTTTGATTAAAGCTTCACAGAGCCTCTTCGGACAGCGCAATCATCGATCTTACAGACTGCTGTATTTGCAGGGGGCTAATGCCCCAATCCTGCAATGAGAATTTCTTCTTATACCCACATACTGACGGCCAATATTATCCACACATGCTATCGACGACAATGGCAGCTATCCATGAAATCACAACAGCACTGAAGACCTTTCTAGGGTTATGAAAATTCTGATCACACGTTCAGAAAGCTATTCAAACGCAAACTTACATGGACAAGTCAGATTCCACGCAGAGCAGACTGTGAAACTTGAGCCCCAGGCAGGAAATGAACTCAAAACTCGTGTTTCTTTCTACTATCTTAAAAAACTAGCACTGAGACTCCTTCTGAGGAAATATCTGTGAGGAAAGCCCTCAATCTGGTCAATCTAAGAGAACTGGAGTCGAATGGTAAGACAATAGCATCGTGGTGTGTCAGATATTGACGACTGCCACTGTGATTTGTCTAAAAATTTGGTCAAGAGTCCTGACTTACTGAGGCTGCAGACCTTACAAAACACAAGATTACATGGATCGATGAAATCACTGAGCCTTTCTCTGTCGCATATTGACAAGAGACAGAATCTTTGCTCAGGAGCGGTATCGTCTGCAAAGCTGCAGGCAGGTCAAATTGCCGCAATCTTCCAGTCATGTCTCCTTGACATTCTGCAGTCCACAAAATAATGGCTGATCGCCTAATTCGCATCAAGGATAAGAATAAGGAGCATGAGACATAATACATAGAAGAATTACATGTTTTGTGTTTGAAAGTGATTACAAAATCATAGCATTTACTGCTGCAACTTGAATGTCTTGAAAGTCGTCGCAATATCACAGTGGGTTAAGAATAGGTATATTGTTCACACGATCATCATTCTCACCGGAAGAGAACATTTCGTTCATAATTCAATGTTAAGAAGTTTTTTTCTTACAGCGGTATTAGAGTTGTGAATAGTGTAAACTCTAAACTGAAGCTGAATGTAAGTTATGAATGGAAAGAATTTTCAGTAGACTTTCATTTCCTTTAATCATTTGAAACTACTGTATATTGGGAGAATAATGTTGAACTACTTTTCAGTCTATCATTTGAGCGGTATGCAAAACTCGATTCTGTTTTTCAGCTGAAAAAACCTTTGAAGTCTTTGCTCCAAAAGCAACTCAAAGCAAGTTGATCTTCATTGATATAGAATACAATACATTAATTCAACATAAAGGGTTTTGTAATGTTCATATGAAATGTTTTGTGATGTTCATATGTTTTTTGAACCTGGATACTTAGAAGGAAATATTTTGAATTTTGAAAAATTAGATTAAAATAATTATTGACAACGATTGAGATAAAATAAATAATAATCTGACAGTTATCTATCTGTATATGGCCAACAATATTTAATTGGCATCAAACCTAATGTGGTTCACACTGCATAGTATTGTACATACTTCAAGAGAAATGCTTTTGAATAATTGACTCCCTTATAAATTTTTTCTTTCATTGTTGGATTTACAAATAATCAAAACTAATATTAAAAAAATGTTTCAAGATTGTTTGCAGCATTTTATTTTTTTATTATTAGATACGATTACAATAGTTTTGGACTTAAGCTCATGCTTGCACAGACGTTGTTCGAGGACTCTCCTCGACCGTCGTGTATAGTACCCTAGCCTGGCTGGCAGAATCTAACGAAGCTTGACTTTGATCTGACATGCAAAAACTTCTTCACATAGCTCGATTCACGGAGCAGACAACATGAGTGACGACACGGGTGGAACTTCGGCCCAAGCAAAACTATGATGTCTGAGAACTTAAAATAAAGTTGCTAATGCAATGAAATACATTCATTTAGTGTTATAGAACAGTACTATGGAAATCAGCAAGTTTAAAAGACTGCCTGCAAATCAAATCAGTTATCTTCATATGGTGTGGTGTACCAGCAAAATTTCTGTTTTCTTATAGGGGACTAGTCACGAACAGTATTGGATGTAACTCATCACGTTAATAAACAGAAAGAGCAAGAGCACATTCGTTTAAGAGTAAGATGGGATCAACCCAGCCAATTGCAGCTGAATTGAAACTCCGCACCATCCTTCATCTCGTAATATGCATCACCTCCAACGAGAGCTACATGAGACCAAGTTTTAGCAAGAACTATGATCATCACGTCGGGAGCTATGCGGTTCTTTAAAAGATAAACAACATCAGTCGATCGTCTTTCCAATACTTTCTGACTTCGTCGAGGGCAGGTCATTGTCACCAGCTGTGATGTTGCAGCAGCACCTCGTGACCTCTCAACATATTCAATACCCAAATTGCAGAAATGAAGAAAGCAGATGGAGATTGTGCAGACGTAGACAAAGAAATTTAGCTATTGTGCCTCTGAGCTATTCATCAGAATGCTCAAAATTGGAATGAGAAACATGATGTAGCAAAGAACAATGACTTTGAGAATGGAAAAAGCTTCACCACAAATGTCAAGGACCAACTGAGCGGCATGAAATACATGAGTCTACTTTGAAAGCTATTTGTGATGTGCATTCGTGAATGTATCGATCTAAGTGTATGATGTTACGCGCAACGAAAATATAGAGAAGTATGGAAGATAGAGAGAGCCTTTCGGATCAGATATGCGAGCAAATTGTATCAACTGAAATCGATCAGAAAACATCCAATTGCATAACATATGTATCATGTGTACAGATAAAGCCAGTTTTTACATTCCATGCTTCATACTGTTCTTCTCTGTCCAGTCCAAGAACCATGTAGGCCATTAGCTGCATAATAAGCAACATTTGATGTGGATCTTTCGCATTCAAAATCTGATTCATTCCTTGAGCAAATTCGAACACACAAACGACATTTCTCCATTTCATCATGAGCTATGTCTAGATGGGACTGTCATGATCCTTGTATGTTGATAATATAGTATCAGTAGCCTACGCACTACCGAAGACTAAGGGCAATCCTCCGGGGTCAGAAGATAGATCTTCCATGTAGTTGCGATTTGAACTACGTTGGCTCAGATACATAGAGTAACTGCTCCATCTATTCTCATTCCAGTAGATGTGAGTTATGTAAATAAAAATCTTTCTGAGCGTGATATCAAATCACTAAAGGCAACTGAGGGGTAACAGGAAAAAACATTTCATACTGACGCATATTATCAGACTCCCGAATCTTGTGCATTTGAGCTCCTTCCGGACAATATATCCTGTGCGTGAGTCATGACTCACGCAAAGAACTCTCATCAGAAACATTACAGCAATAAGATCTGCAAACTAGTTATATTTTTCAATAACGAAATTGAATTCACACTAAATATCCGTAGAAGTGTGGACTCTCGGCATATAAGTACGACGATTATATTGCTATATTTTTTTTAGTCTATACTGAATACTCAGGTATGAGATTGCATGCGCATGCTGGTATTCCAGCAGTATACCAGGTTGACGAGGCTGGCAGTAGGTTGGACAAAGTTTTTGTGTGCTTTGGATATGGTATTATTCAGAAAACAGATCATGCTTCCAACTACATTCCGGAGTTAACAAATTTTCCGTACAGGAATCGACATCTTAAACCCAGAGTGTGAGATTATTTCAACTCCGTGTAATCGTTTACTCTTCAGTGGGAATAAGCTAACGTGAAAGCTACCATAACCCAAGCACAAAGTTTTCCACCGTTGATGAAAATCGAGGGCTTTCTCTTTTTCATAGTTGTTATTTCATTTCAGTGTCTTTATCACGATGAATTTGACATGAATTTGATGATTCTTCAAAAGCAAGAGGTCACACTTGAACTCTTCTCAAATTTGGATTCTAATCTACTGGCTTCGGGGAGTTGGTGCTTTCCCCTTTCCTTCAGTGCTCGTGCGCGGAGATCCTCAAGACCCTTCCGGCCTTCGGTGTTTTCTCGTACAGACAAAGAAATCTCCCTCTAGCCCTGAAAGTGCTCACGCATCTTCGGATAGAATTAGAACCACCTGATTCGCGCTCCCAGATACGGAGTAACATTTGCAGTACCTCATTGATACTTGAAAACATAACGATCACTGATGGATGGAGTATTTTTACGGATTTGCGTAAGATGTAACTTTGCTGCGCTCTTATGTGATCGGAATGCGAAGTAGGCGCGATAGCCGTCTTGCATCCGTGGAGTTTCGATCTTCCACATCCATTTACTCTAACGACATCAATGTAAATCTTTCCATGCAAACATAGAGGTCCTGGCTGAAGGTAACGCTATCGAACTATTCCACATGCTAGATGAAACCTGCACTCAATCCAAACTTCAACGTGGAAAAGTTGGTTATCAGGTGTGCAGGCGCAGTCTTTGCTCACTGTCGGAGGCACTGCATGGTATATATCTCAAGTTCAGGGGCAAGTTCTATGACGTGTACGTGCAGCCCCTATATTGGAATCTCAAAGTTGACCTTTTCTTACTGAGGCTGCTGAAAGTGGAAGTGGGTTTGTGTTTACACAGAAGATGTTCTCACTTGCATTCACATTGTCCGTTGAGAGTCGGTTCTCTGACTGCGTGAGAAACAACTCGGGGAGCGGGTTATAACTTCAGGAAGAACGAGAGCCTTTCTTATTTTCGAACAAAGAAATCGATACGTTTATACAACCATTCATTTTTTTGTCATGTCTTCCACATAATGAAATCGCAAGTAGAGCTCCAGTCTAATAACAGATGTTAAGGTTGTGGTTGGTTTTGATCTCACAAATATATCCTAAAGATTGACACAATCCACCCATATCCTTTATGTGTATGTATTTTTGAGGATATATCTATACATATACTATTGGCAAGCTTGTTGCGGGATCGTCAAGTAATGTTATTGAAACAATTATGTGTATATTGATCTTGTTTTGATCCCATTTAGAATGCAGTTTTTTTTTTCATGGAGTCATAAATGTAGAAATTTAAACACAGTTTGCTGCGAAATGTTTGCTCTTCGTTGGATCTTTGAGCGGCTCACATAGAAGAAAACAAAATCAAATGCAACAAAATTGAAACCTTAAATGGAGATTATAGTGAAGTAGATTTTGTGCCACTTTTGTTGAACAAACAACGTAATGTTATCTTTAATCGTGAGCTGTGCATCATGCAGTACGTCACCATGAAAAAGACAGCGGAGACAAATCCACTGCTACATTGCACGGCGGTTTCAGATAAAGCAGTAGTGGAGCTAAAGAGCTAAACGTTTTGCCTCAGTCGCATGAGGCAAAACGTGCGGCAAGACCCATTGTGAAGCAGCACAGCAACTTAGATCGAAACGAAAGTGAGCGAAATGCAGTTCCATTTAAACACTATCTTGCTGAATTTCGCAAAATAAATCACTTGAGCGATCATTGAGATGGCAGTCTGAAGCATCTTCAACCCATACCAACCGAGTTCCGATTTCTTTGAGCAAATGAAGCAGACAGTTCAAGGCTGATGCACAGCAATCTACCTGCTGCCTTTTATTTTCCACATCGATTCGATGCAATAGAGACACACTCATGTTCAACAATATAGGATCTAAATTAACCACTAACAGCGAACTGAGCCCTGCCAGTGTCCAAGCAGTACTTGCTGGGAGTGTCAATGCGATAGCAACAGACCTGCAACTTTTGGTCAGCTTCAGGTCTCCGTCATCGCCCCATGCACTCAAGTCCGAGACATGGATCCATGTCTCGGACTAGGGCTTGGAAGGAACCGGTCCCATGAAGTAGTTATTTGACAAGTCTAGGTATGATAACTGCGATAAGTTGTGAATGGCCGCTGGAACTAAGCCCCAGAACTTGTTACTAGAAAGATCGAGGTACGTCAGAGACACTCGATCACCGATATTGCTGGGCAATTCGCCGACCAGGAAGTTGTCGGAAAGATCCAAGTGAAATAGATTAGGGAAACCATCGAGGAACTTAGCGGGCAGGGGCCCGGTGAGAAGAGCACCCTGCAAGTCCAGTGAGCCAATGTTCCCTGTGAAGTTGGGAGACCAAGTGGGGAGATCCGCGTGCAATGGATTTGAAGATATGTTGAGCGAGGTGAGACTCTTGAGAGCGAGAAGCGAAGGGGTGATGCCTCCCTTGAGCTCGTTGTTCGACAGGTCCAGCGTCCCCAGGTTCACCAACGAAGACAACCAGGTAGGAATCTGCCCTGTCAATCTGTTCGACCCCAGACTGAGCTGGTGCAGCTGAGGATTCTCCGGCATCGCTCCGACCTGCCAAACGCTGCTGAGCCTGTTGTTGCTGAGGTCCACGCTGAAGGCCTTGGCAGCAAGTGACAGGGGGAATCCGCCGGTGAAATAATTATTGGCAGCATAGAGGGCGCCGATGGACGATAGAGTGTCGGGTATAGGACCGGATAAACTGTTATTAGAAACATCGATGGATAAATTATTCTCTTCCGGGATGCTTCCGAGCTCTGCTGGAAGTGGCCCGTAGAGGTTGTTGTTGAAGAGCTGCAGAAGAGTTAGCTGTGGCAGGAACCCGAGCTCTTTGGGAATGAAGCCGCTAAGCTCGTTGTCATGAAGGCCCAAGAATCTGAGACTCTTGCAGTTGGCGAGTGCCGAAGGGATTCTCCCGGAGAGATAGTTGTTCTCAACAGCGAGGTCGGTGATCTCCGTCATGTTGCCAATCTCCTGGGGAATACTGCCTGACAGCATATTATCGGACAGGAGGAGTTGTTTCAGATCCGTCAGACGACCTATGGACGGGGGGATTGGTCCCGAGAAGAGATTATCTGAGAGCGTGAGCTTTGTTAAGTGGACTAGATTTCCGATCCATGATGGTATATTGCTCCCTAAGAAGTTGGACCCGAAGCTGATCTCCTGAATGCCTGTCAAGTTGCCCATACACGGAGGAAGACCACCCGTGAGCTTATTACCGATTATTTGAAGAACTGTCAAGTTGGCCAGCTTGCAAATCTCCCAAGGCAAGGAGCCTTCCAGCTCTCCTCCATCGAGCTGCAGGTTTCGCAGCTCCCTCATGTTACCGATCTCTGGAGGGATGGATCCAGTGAAGTTAGGATCCACCAAATTCAAGTGCGTCAGGAGCTGCAGGGACCCCCATGAGCTCGGAATGGGCCCGTTGAAGTAGACTCCTTCAGCGATGAGGTAGTTGAGAGCCACCAATCTACCCAAGGATGCTCCTGCTGCTGTGGAGGCGTTGGGGATCGCGATCATGCTCGGTGCTTCCAGATGATTTCGATTCAGAAGTCGAAGACCTCGCACGCGACCATTGAAGTTGCAGTTGACTCCATCCCAGCTGCAGCAGCTCGTTCCTTCCTTCCAGGTTTCTAGCTGCCCCGCCTCGTCGCTGAACTCTGCCTTGAACTCCAACAGAACATTGCTGTCGCCTTCGTCGCACAGGCCAGAACTATATCGCCCCTCGACAGCCGCTATCAATCCGAGGCATAATACAGCAATTACCGAAGGCACTTTCCTCGAGGTTGCCATTTTCTTCATCCTCCGGTCGATGCACTCAGAGGTGGAATCGCATCCAAAGGTTCCTGTTTACGAGCGTGGACGTCTCAGACCTGCTGGCCCCATGCCAAAAATCAGCTCAAGCAAAATCTCCAAAATTGTGAAGTCTCATAGTACTGCGACCTCTTCAAAATTTGGGCAGCCAAATCATAACTCCAGCAGTGAACTCGCTTTTCAGCAAATTATAAACTACTTGTGGAAGTGTGGGATGAAGGGCGATTTTGTCCAGAACAATCTGAGCATGCATTCCATAGAAATCTCTGCCTACATATGCTCATGAAGGAGAAAATCTGAGTCTCAAGAACATCTTCACCTTGAGGAGCTAAGTTGACTGAGTGGCATTCAGCTTTTCGGAGAGGACGAGGTTCTGCCCAAGACCGAAGGCGTAGAGCAGGACGGGAGTCTCGTTCATACGTGAAGAGATGGTGCCATTCTCAGCAAACGTCAAGATTATTCAGACTGCAAGTCCTTGCAATGAGTGACCAGATCGAGCAGCTCTGGTGTCTTGCAAAGATCTAGCCTCCGCCATTTAAAGGCTCTCGCGGGTCGACGAGAGAGTTCCTTCCAGAAAACATCAATCTGCCCATGTGCGGAGTGTTCATTCGCCAGCAAAATACCAAAGGGCTGAGAAGCGTGAGCCTAGGTATACGTATCCTTGCTCCATAGCTGGCTGACACAGAGAAGACGATGACCTGAAGCATGTGAGGGAGATCTTCCTACCGTACTGGCCCCGATGTAACAGATTGCCAAACGCACGCAGCCAGTTTGCAAACATTCCAGAAGCTGGGCCAAATCAGCCAGCGGGCATGATTTGACATCCAACAATAATGCCTGTTCTTCTCAGAGGTACTCACACTCAAACTCACCACCACCGCTTGTAACTGGTATCGTAATGCCACCAGAGCTCGGCATAATCCAGGTGATGGCCGACCTATAGCAGCAGCAGGTGCTGCTGCTCCAGCTGGTTGAAATGACCTACACTTGCAAGCTTGAGAAGAATCTGACGTGCCAGAGTGCTGCATGAGCCTGGAAACTTATTACAGCGGTTGTGACATTTCTTTCATGTTCTTAAATGTTGGAGAGGAAAGTTGGAGAGACTCTCTGTAGCAGGACATATATAGCCATGAGGGATGCGTCAGAACTGCACGTCTGCACTGGACGCCTTATGCAGGTGAAATTGATCCAACAGACACCTCACACATCTTTCTTCGTACGGAACTCCGTCAAACGAACCCGTGAGTTTGCATGTGCGCTCTGTCGGCCTTTCAAGGTTGATGAAAAGGACAGGCTTAATTCCGACACGAACTAAGTGAACACTGGATTTCGGTTTTCCTTCTCTGCTCAGACTGGCAAAGCCCTATCAAGTACTCGTTACAGCTGATGATGATTCCATTGGAAAGTGCTGTATATCATAAACGTAGTTCTAATCAGTGAGTATGTTCAGTACTTCAGAACTTTCTGTCATATTTCAAATACAAATCATCTACACAATCTGTTTTCCCACAATTTACAACCGATGAGAGTCGAGCAGTATCGCCAGATTTTTTTAAGTTGCCTTCATCCGGATCGTAATTGTGATATATATTTCTTCTGACATTCTGGAGCATCTGTTTAATGTTTTTCATAATTTACACAGGCTTGTTCTGATTCAGATGAAAGTCAAGGAAAGTTTGAAAATACTTTGCAATCTGACCATCGCATTGTTGAATGATATATACTTAAAGTTTATATCGAGAGATATGTCCATCCAGTCAATTTGGCCGAGTGGTTAAGGCGACAGACTTGAAATCTGTTGGGCATTGCCCGCGCAGGTTCGAACCCTGCAGTTGACGATTAAATTTTTCCTTTAGGAGTTTGGAGCACTCACCGATATGGTTTAGACTTGTTGAGCAACTAAACCTGCAATATCTACTTCCTAGCATGATAAGGGTTTTGATAGCTTTAAGTTGAAGATTTTAAATTTGTACAGATTTACTGTCAAATCAAATTCATAGGAAGAGCCTAAAACATCATGACTTAGTGTTATTGTGTTAGTGTTAATACACAAAGAGTATCATTCATGCATTTTATATTAAATCGTTTCTGGTTCATTCTTGTTTACTGATGTTCGACCGCGTGGTTCGCATCTCAACAAATTTTTACTTCAAGTGTCCATGTTCATGTTTTTTTTTTCATGTTGCTCGTGTACTCCAAGATGGGTATAAACGTGTATTTCTCTTGGCAGTTGATGTTTGGTCGACGAGCGTGATTATAGTGTATCCTCATCCTAATGTCCGGGTTTTGCATTGGAGGAAAAGTCCATTCGGATCACAAAGGATGGAGGTCCCGCTCAACTACAATATATACATCGATTACATTGTGTTATCTTAAGACATCTTTTAATCATGGCATGGCTATCTCTTTCTTCCATATTTTGTCTATGATTAGAATCCTACCGAGAATACTCTTGTCTTTTTACGGTTGTTGCATCCATTAGAATAGGTTTCATCATAGGTAGTTGAGTATCAGCTGGAGGAGGCAATTGTCTTGATAGTTTGTCTTTATCCCAGGCTATAAATACATATCCACGCCTCTCATCAGGAGTTTGTCATGACATATGAACTGCTTTTGGATTGTTTTGACTCAGATGTGATTTGACTTCTACGAAGTGATTGCATCAGTTGCAGGTATGGAAATTACTTTGTAAGTTAATCATGTGTGATAGATGCTAATCGGCTTCTCGTAATGGAAAATAATATTGTGATTACTGGTTTGGATTCATGTGGTGTTTCCATCATCCTTGTTATTTACTGGGCATCACTTCGAGAGTTTGGCCGTGGTGTGTATTGTTTTTGCGGCCTCCAGTGTGTCTTCCTACTAGTGACTCTTTCCATGGTTCATTGTAGGCCATGGTTTGCCGTTCCTCTCTCTGTCTCTCTCATATATATGACATCGATTTAAATGTCTTCTATTCTTGGAACTGTTAAGAGCTCATAATATCACGCGCAGCAAATGTGAAATATATAATCATGGCACCATGTTGTTCAAGTCCATTTCTTGCTCCACTTGGATCAGTCCATTATCTTTCCTGTTGAAATAATGATTGGATAAAAGCGCAGAAGCATTTACATCTGCTCTTGGCATGGTAGAGCAGATGTGAACGAGCTACCAGTGAGTGAATCTGAAAGAAACACTTTCAGCAGCCTCTTCATTTAAACAAGTAAACGACTTCAACTCAATAGTGAGACAGGGAAGCATAGCTGTACGACTAGTAAAAGCAACCGGTTTGATTCTTGCTTTCTGCTCGACCGTGTTCCCACGCGGTCTCCCCCATCGAAACCAAAGCCCAACCGCATTCAGCATGGACCACATCATATGCAAATCAAGATCTCTTAACAGCGTATGATGCTTTCCAGGTCTACTGAGATTTATGTATATCATCCTGGAGAAGCTTTACTTTCGCACTAATGGATGACTTCGTTGCTGAGCTCCGAATGGATCGTCTTCCAAACAAATCACAGTGTTATAAGCTTTATGAAAGCTATATGATTCTTCACGGCATGTACCGCTCAAGTACTTCTCTGACTGCAATCTGTAGTCTGAATCCAAATGATTCGCTGGATATATATTATCTTCACTAGCAAAAGTACCCAGACAATGGAGAAAGGAACGTCAACCAAAAGCTCGGAATCGACCATGCTGAGGATCGAACCCAGAATCTCTAGCTCCGTAGGCTAGCGTCTTATCCATTGGGCCACACGGTCAACTGTATCCATCTATTCGATCAAAAATTACATATTCCCAAAATCCGAATCTTGTTAAACTTTGGTTGTTAAAAACCACACGCACAAGCTAACTGGCTATTCCAGCTTCCTTGTGAAACTCTGAAGATTTAATGCCTCCATCGATTACTTGTCATGACTCATTAGACTCAGATTTTGTAAGAGTTACACCTCGAGAAATGTTTTTATAAGGATTTTGATGTCGACGAACTTTATCTTCGAGGTTACTCCCATCACACATCTATTTAAGATTGTCGAGGTTCTATCTCCAGTTTATGGATAACTACAGGATCGCTCTAACTAAAGAGTGCAATATAACGTAAACCTGCACTTGAAGAATGAGGTCGAAGCTGTATAAGAATCCAATGATTGGCACCACATCGAAGACTGTCATCATATCTGAATATAATGGTTTGATCAGATTTTGTTCATTTGTGATAATGTTCAATACTGCAGAGAGATTTTCGTTCTCTTGACATATTCACTGAACAAGTAGGCATAACGAAAAATGAACTCACTGAATATTCAAGTCGCATACTTCCATCCCATACTTCCATTAGAACTATCGACATTTAGATCTCAAATCTGAAACACAATGCGCTACTCATAACAATATTACTTGGTAAAAGTACAGCCGAGATCTTTTAAGCGGTACAGGCGGAGGCACACAATGGATATCTATTTTATTATACGCTCCAATGATAGACGGATGCAACCCCGAAAAAAGGATCCATAGATATAACAGGTTAGTATTATACCTATGAGAGTGCCTGCAGTACTCGGCAACAGCGGAGTCATAGGAAACGAAACGATCTTATGGAAGAAGACTGAAGTCAAACATGGCTACATACATCTACTGAAGTCTCGATCTATGACTCAATGACCCATCACTAGATCAGTCTAACGCACACCCCGAACAATACCAGCGATCTAGTGCATCGCGGGATGCTCAAGACCCTCTAGCATGAAGCCGACTTGATGAGGTCTTCCCGTCTTTTTTGCTATTTTAGCTTTGTACTTGTTTTCCACCGAGACAAACATTTCCTTGGGGACCTCGTGTTCTTAGAAGTTCATTGGCCGGAGATGGAATGGGATACATTTTAGTCTTATGAAAAAGCAAAAGCCGAACATTTTTGGAGTATGGGCGATGTATCTGACCAAACTGTATTGCAACGAAGCAGCAAGGACAAAGCGGTGTAGTGATCTTGAGCGGCAATAGCATAATTTTTTTGTCAAGACAGGCGAAAAGTTCATCTCTGGTAGGATGGATAGCGCCGCTGCCGGGGATCGAACCCGGGTCACCCGCGTGACAGGCGGGAATACTTACCACTATACTACAACGACTGGATGGCTTAAGGAAGCAATTTATAAATTATCATACTTATCAATAATATACTTGAAAGTTCACTCCCTTCTTGAAATACATGACAATAATTTCAAAAATATCTCCAGAGCTAAAAAACTTCCATTATTCTCTATCGTGCAAGAATATACACTAAAGTGCACATCAACACAAGCTTGAGTGAGTTCTCCCACGAATGTGAGGTTTCTGATAAAATTAGTACATGGATAGCTAACTGCAACAGCTTAATAATTTGCTTGTCCTTCTTCACTCTTCCAACACAATGCAAACATACTTTTCCTATCACAAGATTTTCAGTTTCAGCTTTAAAACATTGTTCATGATACTTAATTAATGGCTCTCATAGCTCATTTAAGAGTTGCATGCTGGTACCAACTACAATCCATGATATATTTTCATATCTTGCATCCCTTCTCAACTGTCATGGAATTGTAGTCAATGTCTTTGTCTCGGTGTTCCTCAATCAAGAAAGCAATCTCTTTCTTCTTTCCATTATTCCTCTCTTCTTCAGACTCGACAATCTCAAATTAAGAAGAGCTGTAGCCAGCCTGTCTCTTCCTGTTTCACTTTGGAGACTGAAAGCTAAAATTCACTATATCACCACA